ACAGTTGTGCTGTGGGTTACACATAGACAATCCCGTTCACACTGTCCTGGAGGGAATATTTTCCACACTGACAAAGTTTCAGTGTATACATCATGTACATGTGATACCCAGTGGAAGTCTTAAAAAAAATGCAACAAAACTTAAAGTTAATGTCTGTTTAATAATTGAAACTCAAATTTACACCATATTTAAATTAACCCATGATTTCGGAAACTTACCACGATTTGTCCTTATTTGCCAATGTTTTATTCCTTATTTGCCAATGTGTTAGTCCTTATTTGCCAGTGTTTTAGTCCTTATTTGCCAGTGTTTTAGTCCTTATTTGACAATGTTTTAGTCCTATATGACTATGTTTTAGTCCTTATTTGACTATGTTTTAGTCCTTATTTGACAATGGTTTAGTCCTCATTTGACTATGAAAAACCCTTATTTTGTTTTATTAAAGTCCTCTTTTGACTTGATAAATACTACAATTGTGCCCCGATTTGACACTGTCGGAGGCAGCCACCAGCAACGTGGCAGCTCTCTACCAAAGCATGTCCATAAAGTGACAAGCCTAGGGACAGAGTTCCCCTCCACACACCTGCTCTCCTGGCCAGAACACTACACCTTAAAATGTGGTGCGTTCACGCGAATGTTTTTTAATGATTTGGCATCCTTCTGTTCAATATGTATATCTATATGTATGTTTGACTTAACTAGCACCAATCCTTTCCAAACTTTTTAATAAAAATATTTTTAGATTTGATGCACCGTTTTAATAACAGAAATTTACCCTGCCAGAGACATGTTTCTTCACTGAATTAATTATACTACTTAAAATAGTGAAGGACCCTTTGACTCTTTCAAATTAATACAGTTAATGGCTGACAGGGTAATTATTGTGTAAATATGAAAGAACCAGGTTGTCCTTAACTTCACTGGATTGTCTGGTCCAGACTCGATTATTTACAGACTGCCATCATATTGCTGGAATATTGCTGAGTGCAGCGTTAAACAACAAACAATAATATTTATAACTAAGCTTTACAGCCTCTTCCACTTTTTGGGTTCTGTTGTCAGTGACATACACTTCTACAAACTTTTATTACTACTTTATTAACATACCTGGGAAATGTTTATTTCCAATTTGGGAGTTTTTAATTGACATTTTTTTGTCTTGACACCAAATATCAGCCTCTGGTCATGTTTACATAAACCCGTGCATGTAGGTGGAAGTTATTGACTTGACACATGATGACATTACCATACACATGACTGTCACTTCTCCCTATACAGGTATTTGTCTTCACACTTGTTCATGTGTTTGTGTGGCTGTTGTTTCACTGATGACGTACATTGCAATGTGATTAACACTCACTCGCAGTGGAAGATAACATTGTGAGTGACGGCAGTATAACCAGTGATATTGACCTGTTGTCATGGCAACTTACTCTCAGCATCTCCATATATAGTAACATCATGACAATCTATTGCCTGTGTAACCTTGTCTCCTCTATGTGGTACTTGTTTGGTTGACTATATGTAGACAAGTTAATGTTGTATGTCAGTATATGGCAACATATGTTTAACATGTCATAAAATATTCTGGATATGGTATCACATGTTTTTAATGAAGAGGAAATGATTTTTATATGAATTCATTACCTTAGTCATTCAGTTGATGTCATGTTAACAGTTGGTGTCATGTTAACAGTTGATGTCGTGTTAACAGTTGATGCCGTGTTAACAGTTGATGCCGTGTTAACAGTTGATGTCATGTTAACAGTTGATGTTGTGTTAACAGTTGATGTCATGTTAACAGTTGATGTCATGTTAACAGTTGATGTCGTGTTAACAGGTGGGCTTTATTTTATAAACAACATTAAGTACAAAGATGTTTTTGATCCAGATTATTTCAAATTTAAATGTTTAAAACTATATTCCACGACAGTGTTAAATGTACTGCTTCAAGACAACTGTGGGTTTTGATTGGTAGGAAACTTGACAAGGATATTCTTCAGGGCTGATATATACTACTCAAAAGAAGTTAAAGAACACCTGATTCTTTTATATTTCTATAGTTAATATACATCATTGAACCGTGGAAGTCGCTTTGTGGGGTCTCGGTGGTAATGGTTTGGTCAAAATTGGTTATATGTTTAAAGTTCTTATTTTCTGAACTTCAGAAGTTTTTAAAAAGGATTTATAACTTTACTAAGTATTCATTGGACATGCAATTTGATGAAATTAAAGTTATCTTTGTAAGTCTGAAGCAGTTATTATAGCCTGACTTGGGATGTTTGTCATCATATTTTGAATTTGTCTGGACACTAGAGCCGGACGTCCATGTTGTTTGTCACAGTCCCTGTGTGGGTGGGTGTTGACAGGTTGTGCTTCACTCTACTTGTCATACTCCACAGGGAGTCTGGTTTACAGGTGTTGTCAATATGAAATGTAGTGACACTTCCCGGTCTAATTGACCTAGACAACCTTGTGAGTATTATTATTGTAAAAAGTGTTCGAAATTATGGGGGGTCCTTGAAATTGGCTAGTATTTGTAGTGTTTACTGTCCGAGTTATGACAACGACACCATTACTTTCAGGCTGAATTTTGAATATACAACCTATGAATATATACTATTGTTTGTCCTGGCTAATTTAATAAATGATGTAATGAATAGTTGATTAAAAGAACAGTGAGTTATTGAACATGCTGCAATGAGGGCTGATCTGTTGAATCCTATCTAGCATTGTTTATCTGGGTGGCATTGTTGACATTCAAATCTAATTGTAACCATGGTAACATGGGGCTAGAAACAAGGTCATAGCTGAATATTATTGAAGTCATTTGGAAATAGTGGTTATCTAAGATGGCGGTCGTGTCATAATCTGTGCTATTTCTAAAGGCGTGATCAAAAGGATTAAGAAATAATGGGTAATGATGAAAGTATTACACGCGCATGTGTGTCATACTGATTTTACGAAACTCGTGTAAGAATTCATGTATTACCCTCGCCCTCACTCCAATGATAATCTCTGTCTATGAAGCTCCACCTACAACAAAAACATATGTTTATGAAATCTGTTATTCCATTATTCTTGTTGATATCCTTTGACAAACAGTTTATTGTGATACATACTTGGAAAAGTTTATCACTGGCAGATATGTTATAACAATTTCTACGAGTTAGACCCTGATGTTTACCAGAAAAATCAGTATCCCAAAAGCCACCATTTTGTAATGTAACAATTCCTAAAAAAACAGAATGGATAAAATAAGTTTCCTGTGCACGCTTAGAAATACCATCATTTATTGGCCAAACATTTGATATTCTGAGGGGCATCCGGGATTTCTTTGGAAAAAAAATAAGTTCCTGTAAATGCCAAAAACAAAATTGTCCTCAGGTTTTGCAGACATTAATCCATTGTTTCCTTGACGTGCGGGATGTTCTGAAACGTTTGTCTTTCAAGGAGTCTCCTATGGTGCTTCAATGCGCTGAGCAAAGTTATGTCCCTTGGGTACACCAGGAACCTATGATCATGGGTACGAATCTAAATTTGCCCTGATTATGTTTCCAGGTTTGTCAGAACTAAACCCGTGCTCGTGGTTTTCACCGAAGTGGTAAACATCACTTCGGGCTTTCCTCCCACATCAAGCTGACACACCGGGATATAAACGGGATCCAAAGGGCATACCGGTACTTAGACATCGTGATATAAACGGGATCCAAAGGGCATACCAGTACATAGACATCGGGATATAAACGGGATCCAAAGGGCATACCTGTACTTAGACATCGTGATATAAACGGGATCCAAAGGGCATACCGGTACTTAGACATCGGGATATAAACGGGATCCAAAGGGCATACCGGTACTTAGACATCGGGATATAAATGGGATCCAAAGGGCATACCGGTACTTAGACATCGGGATATAAATGGGATCCAAAGGGCATACCAGTACATAGACATCGGGATATAAACGGGATCCAAAGGGCATACCTGTACTTAGACATCGTGATATAAACGGGATCCAAAGGGCATACCGGTACTTAGACATCGGGATATAAACGGGATCCAAAGGGCATACTGGTACTTAGACATCGGGATATAAATGGGATCCAAAGGGCATACCGGTACTTAGACATCGGGATATAAATGGGATCCAAAGGGCATACTGGTACTTAGACATCGGGATATAAACGGGATCCAAAGGGCATACCGGTACTTAGACACCGGGATATAAACGGGATCCAAAGGGCATACCGGAACTTAGACACCGGTACTTAGACATCGGTACTTAGACACCAGTACTTAGACATCGGGATATAAACGGGATCCAAAGGGCATACCTGTACTTAGACATCGTGATATAAACAGGATCCAAAGGGCATACCGGTACTTAGACACCGGGATATAAACGGGATCCAAAGGGCATACCGGTACTTAGACACCGGGATATAAACGGGATCCAAAGGGCATACTGGTACTTAGACATCGGGATATAAACGGGATCCAAAGGGCATACCGGTACTTAGACACCGGTACATAGACATCGGTACTTAGACATCGGTACTGAGACACCGGTACTTAGACATCGGTACTTAGACACCGGTACTTAGACATCGGTACTTAGACACCGGTACTGAGACACCGGTACTGAGACACCGGTACTGAGACATCGGTACTTAGACACCGGTACTTAGACACCGGTACTTAGACACTGGTACTTAGACATCGGTACTTAGACACCGGTACTTAGGCACCGGTACTTAGACACCGGTACTTAGACATCGGTACTTAGACACCGGTACTTAGACATCGGTACTTAGACATCGGTACTTAGACACCGGTACTGAGACACCGGTACTGAGACATCGGTACTTAGACACCGGTACTTAGACACCGGTACTTAGACACCGGTACTTAGACATCGGTACTTAGACACCGGTACTTAGACATCAGGATGAGGGCCCTGTGGCACAAACACTCACTGCTGTTTCTTGATTGTTTCAGTGAGTATAGCAGAGGTGGAGAGACTGTGGAAGAGGTTTCAGCAGCTGGGATGTACTGTCGATGGGATACTGACAGAGGACAAGCTGAGGGCACCACAGCTACAGTCAGATGCCTTCATCAGGAATGTAAGGGCCAGTGACTTTCTATTAGTGTGTGTTGATTTTAAAAATGTAAATGAAAAAACTGGTTGCAGTCATAGTAAAACATAATATCAGTGTTTGCAAAAATCTTTGAGTCTATCTTTATTTGCTATGAAATTGAACTTGTCCTTTTCTCCCAATTTTACTCCCAGTGTATGTGCCATTATAAACTTAGTATTCAAGACGGAAATCAGTTTTACTTGACTCACACTTCAAACTAGCGGCAAAAGTCGCAGGTGTATGTGAAACTTACATGCCTTACCTCACTGTATTGAACATTTGATCACAAATTTTCAGATTTATGAAAAAAATAAATTCTCATACATGTTATTTGTTACCTCCTGTTATGTCAGCCATAAAGCCATCATGGCTATTGACTAAAAATAGATTCAAAGGCATTGATAGTGATAAAACCCTTTTCAACCAACAATAAAGGTGTCGCAACTCAAAACCAGGCTGTAACCAGCGTGCCACAGTTGTTGCGTGCACAGGTGGCACAGTTGTCTAAGGTACTGCAATTCACTGTGCAGATTTGCCTCCCTTGGGCACGCCAGAAACCTATGATTGTGGGTTTGAATCACGGTTCGCCCCGATTATGGTTCTAGGTTTGTCAGCACCATACCCGGGCTCGTGGGTTTCACCGAAGTGGTAAACGTCTGAGACCTGCATCACTTCGGGCTATCCTCCCACATAAAGCTGACACATCATGATATAACTGGAATACTATTCAAGGGGCATTAATCCAAACTCACTCACTCACTCCTAGCAAAATACTGGTTTTGGGTGGTATTAGTCACATGACACCTAGACGCAACAACAAAATGACTGCAACTGTTGTTTAGATACCAAACAACGGTCTATAGAAACTCTGAACATTTCATGCACTTTTTGTCATTTTGTTGCCCTACTTGACACAGGGTGGTGGTGCAGGCTTGTGGTTAAAGCTGAACTCACACCAACCCTCGGTTTAATTCCCCTCATGTGTGAAGCATATGTTTTGTGTCTCCAGACAGGATATTGCTGGAAATGGTTAAAAGCGGAATTACTCGTAGCTCATTCAGTCAGTGATTGAAACAGTTAATCTATGTAAACTACAAAAGTATGTACCCTTTATCACCTTCTGAGTTTTTGTTACCTTGAATAAGGGGTGTGTGGAAGAGATTTTTGATAAAAATGCTGATAGTTAAACCAAACAAATTACAACTTACCAAGTCTCCGAGTTAGACCAGCCGATCCATTTACAGGCTGCTGAGGCTTGAATATTACTGAGTGAGGTGTTTAAAAACAAACAATCTGAAGCCTAAATATTTCTGAGTGAGGTGTTTAACAACAAACAATCGGAAACTTCGTCATAGGTTATGATCGTTTCTGTCCCATGTCAGATCCTGAAACAGTTCAAAGCTGGGGATGGAACAATTTCATTCGAGACTTTTCTCCGAGCGCTGAAGTGGGCAGAGATGCAGGATAATCGCACCAAGGCCAGAGGTGAGTGACATCATGCTGCCACTGTCATAGCACTGTTGTTGACGATATTTGAGTCACATGCATGGTTTACATGAATATATGTTTGTAATGCGACATTTATCTAAATGACTTGATATATCATTACTGTTGACAATCAGACTGTGAATCCCTTCACGTGTCATTGTTAAATATACCAATCTAAGCACTTCAAAGTACAGACACCATGTCAGTAAAACATACTGACAGACATAACAAATTTATTTTTGGTCCCAGCCATTTGCTGTATATATGCTTATAACGAACTACGGTTATAACAAACTAAAATTTGTGGTCACTCTGGGTTCGTTATAACGAAGTCATGCCATGATTAACTATGAAAGAATCAGGTGTTCTTTAACTTCTTTTGAGTACTATATATTCTGTGTTCCTTAAAAGGATTGTAATATCAAGTATAAATAATAACTCTATGGCGATAATATTTCTCACATACGATCATTTATTTTGACTACCGGTAGTATCTTGTCAAACTTCCTGATCTGATGATTGTGATGTGTACTATCTGAATTCTTGTTACAGCAATCTACAGCCTGCTCAACAATGGCAAGCCTCTCAACAAGGATATTTTGTCTCGCATCATGAGACGAGTTTATCCCGAAGATAGCTCAGTAAGGTGCTTCTCGGATTGTATAGACAGTTACAGTCATACAACCTTCCCGAGGCAAGCGTGTCCACTAACCTTTTTATCAAAGCCTAGTTTCTACCCTTGCCACATCAAGGCCATTTTTCTTGGTAGATCAAGAATCCAATCAGATCGTTGTTCTTATCTTGTATAGCTTCACAAAGATGGCAACTACCATAGGCGATGACCGAGTCAGTCAGATAACAAAAAATAATTCACGATTTCATCCCTGACATAGGCAATCGTTCTGGGGTTTAAAGATGAAAAGTACATATTCGTGTCAAGAAAGACAGGCAGCAGTAAATCACTCTCATACAAAGGTGTAGCAGTCGTGGATGTTGATGTTGTGAAACATTCTCTGATTGGACTATTGATATGAGCTGTCCAATCACATTTAGCACAGGAAAGTGGGCTTGATGTGGCCAGAGTGAAAACAAGACTTCAATATAAATGCTAGTGGACGCTCTTGCCTCGGGAAGATGCAGTCATAGTTGAAGGTGGAATCTGTTATTCAGTGGATAACTGTGCTGTGCTCATATCTTGCTCTTCTCAGGAAAATAAGGGAAATGTTCTAAAAAAGCTTGAAAACACCTTTAATGTAACAATACCTTGAAAACACCTTTAATGTAACAATACCTTGAAAACACCTTTAATGTAACAATACCTTGAAAACACCTTCATGTAACAATACCTTGAAAACACCTTAAACTAAGTTGATAGCATTAAGTGTTTTGTTAAACTTCATTGTGAATGTCTGGCTTGCAGGATGATATACAGAGAGTGAGCAGCATGTTTTTCAAACAAATGGATCCACAAGGAAGAGGTACAATTTTTTCTGAAATAATTTGAGTGTTTTAGTAACGACAGAATGAAAACAACTCAAAGTTGTGTACTACACTAAACATTCTTACTCTTACAACATTTACATATCTGTTAATATGTCATTTCTTTACTCGACCAAGGGGAGATAATTTGGGGTTTTGGCAGAGTTGTGTCCCTTATGCTATCATTGCATGCATGCAATAGTTTCCCATTTCCTCAACCCAGTGGTGAATAGAGATGCATTATGTCGTGGTCTGTTTCCAGGGATGATCAACGAGGACCAGTTTGTGGAGGGGGTGATGAAGCTGCCCCCGTCGATGCTGGAAACCGTCCTCGCCTTCAACATCCTGCCCCAGGACATGAGGGAGAGGGTCCACAGAAATCTGCCAGAGGTGGGATCAGAGCATTGTTATTAGTGTTTGGTAGGGCTGGGACGGGTAACTCGGGTACTCGGGTTGGGTGGTTCCTGAGTAGGACCCGGATACCCACAGGACTACCCGGACTCGTGGTTAGTCACGTGATATAGTGTTTAATGACAAAAATTATCTAGAGTGAGTGAGTGAGTATGGTTGTATGCAACAGCAGAAATGAAGGGAAATGTAACAGAATGTACACTATCCTGCCACCTCACTGAAGCTCACCTGGACATGTATTCAACAAATGCAACCATTTGAGGAGTAAGTGAATGGGTATGGTTTTAGGCAACTTTTAGCAATATTCCAGCAATATCACGGGGGGGAAACCAGAAATGGGCTTCACACATTGTACCCATGTCGGGAATCAAACCCGGGTCTTCGGCGTGACGAGTGAACACTTTAACCACTAGGCTACCCGACTGCCCCTTAAATTATCTAGAACTTCCACGGTTACACTACAAGTGACTAATGTTCAAATTTCTTTCTGACTATGCATGCATTTCTTCTGACTCTATATGTTTGAATAGAGGTAAAACATCAGTTAACTTCAGTGTATGCATGACCAGATCGTTTTATGAGAGTATCTAATTACATTTTGGTAGGGCAACAGTCAAACTATTCCCAATCAGACATTTGTACTTATCTCTTGAGACCAACAGCGAGTATCTGGGTAGGGTCAGGTAATAGTGGGGAGGGAACCCGGGGTAGTAAATTTGGACTCGTGTTTGGCAATAAAAAAGTGATGTCGTTATTTTGTAAGAATGTAGACCACCGGCCATTCACAGCATACAATTTGTCCACCAACTGTCACAGTAATAACATGGGTGTACACAGCATACAATTTGTCCACCAACTGTCACAGTAATAACATGGGTGTACACAGCATACAATTTGTCCACCAAATGTCACAGTAATAACATGGGTGTACACAGCATACAATTTGTCCACCAACTGTCACAGTAATAACATGGGTGCACAGAACAAGTTTATGACTTAAAAAATTAAAAGAATTGGTTCTCAGGCAGTGAAAATATAGTGCAGGCTGGCGGTTTGTTGTTTTTTGCTTGTTCAAACTTGTATGTAACGAAATATACATTTGTGTACTATCAACCTGGGAAAGGGCCTTCCTACATAATCAAGCACATAAAGTCCTGTTGCCGCCATGACCATACCACGAGATGCGCAGTAAAGCCGTGTGCTGTATTGGTTTGCAATGTTTTTAAGTATTAGGATTTTTTTGATTTTTTTTTAAAAATAAAAATAAAATGTGTGGCAGGCTTGATGATGATGCAGGCGGTGCCTGATAACCAGGACTACCACTATTATTTTTTTTAGCCTAGGAAATACAGCACACCGCTGATCTGAGTACCACATGCAGCTGGAATATTCATACATATATATCATACTATAGTAATCACATACAGCTAGAGTATTCATACATATATATCATACTATAGTAATCACATACAGCTAGAGTATTCATACATATATATCATACTATAGTAATCAAAGATGTTACCAATATTTGTTATTGTTGACAGAGAACAAGGTCAGGACGATGCAGTGTTTCATAACCTAATAATTGTAGTCACCTCTACATGCCTGCTTCCTATTATTGTTAAAATAAACCTAAATGTTTCCATGTGTTAGCTATGTGTAGAGATTCTGAGGCTGTGCATATGCCTCCATGGGGCTTCCGATGAGACAAGGTGAAGAGCTGACGATGGACAGGTGACATGGCGATTGTGTGTCGTCATGACCAGTCACTGGTTTGCCTGGCCCAGACTTGACGACCTGCAGCCCTCTGTGATGTAGCTGGAATACTGCTGACTGTCCTCACATGGTGTGGAGAGGTCCCAGCTTGGTGGGGAGAGGTCCCAGTTTGGTGGGGAGAGGTCCCAGCTGTTGATACGAATGGTACTACAGACATGGAACCAGGACAGAGTATGTGTGGTATCACATTTGAAACTAACATTATTTGTGACCCACCCGGAGAAAAGGGACCTTATGGTTGCTAGGATACAGTTGTGCTGTGATGTCATAAACTTACTTCAGTGAAGATCACCATGTGTGTGGACTGTACAAAAACATCTTATTTTTCTCTCGTTAGTTCATAATATAATAGAAACATTATTTCAAAACCTTTCAGCATACATATCTACTTTCAATTCATCAGACATTATGTGTAAAAACTGCAATTATTGCATTAACAGTTATGAGTCAATAAATGGGTTTTAATTTTTTAACTTATCCTGCATTACTCCGTATTGCATTTACTGCTGTCTTTGACAGAGAGACGAGCTGTGTGGGATCCAGCTGCTGAAGAAAGTTGTTTCCATCTGTCCAGGAAGCAGCGCCCCCTCCCACACAGTCGGCATGTGACCCGGAAGACATGACGTCATGTCAAAACACATAACTGCTTTGTCAACCACATGGATCGGACGTGAACTGTATCCCTCAGTGGAATTATTAAAGCTTTCTTGGTCCTGACTTTCTTTCGTTTACTACGACAAAAGTCTGCTGTATTACCTTTGCCTTCATTATATTGTTAATTGGTAACGTTTCTCGCTCGGGTTGTGACTCTCGTCACGTTTTTTCCGAGCGTATTGTTGTTTCCTGCCATTTTGGTTTACCGCCATTTTTTCCCGCCCTGTTGCGATTCACTACGTGTCCACGTACTTTCGTGTTTTGTGTCTTGAATTCGCTCTATGGTTGGAGTTTTACATTAAGTTTAATGATTGTTTTTGGCGTGTTTGAAGCGTAATTGTTTGCTCTTATTAACTTTGTAACAAGAATAAGTTATGTTGAGTTACATTATGTTTCACGTTGTGTGTTTACGCATCGTTATGTTTTTGCTTCAATTCCAGTATGTCTCGCTGCTCTCGCTGCCGCGGGAATAATTCTGGACGGGACCCCCACCCCTGCTGCCTGGACTGTACAACCCCGTGTACCCTCACAGAGCGTTGCAGTTATTGTAGTCCCCTGTCGCCAGTCTCCTTCACCGCCTACCTAAGAGTGTCTCGGAAACGATTCACCCAGGGTGTGCGTCGACTCTCCAACATGCCATCCAACGTAGAGTCTGCCTCCCATGGCACGACATCCGACCGTACACAGTCTCCTATACCACCCTTACCGTCGCCTGCTTCGACATCATCGTCTGCAGCATCGCCCGTTTCGGGTTTCCTGTCACCTCTACCATCTACGTCGACAACTCCGGCGCCTCTTGGCCCGGCGCCTCCGATGTACCCGGCGCCTCTGATGTATCCGGCGCCTCTTGGTCCGGCGCCTCTGATGTATCCGGCAACTCCGGCGCCTCTTGGTCCGGCGCCTCCGATGTATCCGGCGCCTCTTGGTCCGGCGCCTCCGATGTATCCGGCGCCTCTTGGTCCGGGGCCTCTGATGTCTTCGATGTATACGGCGCCTCTGACTACTTCGGCGCCTTTGACTTATGCTGCGCCTCCTACTTATGGACATGCCCTTCCGTCATCGTTCATGGATCCATCTTGGATGCAAGCTTGGATGCAGTCATTGTTTGCGCAAGCTCAACCCACCTCAGCGGCGCCGACGGTGCCTCCTGCGACGCCGGCGACCCTGACGGCCCCGACTACTGTTACTTCGATTCCTGCGGCCCCCTCCACATCGGGTGCTTCTCGGTCTCGAACATTGTACACCTCGTCGCCTCCGACTGTTTCTCGGCACTTGTCCAAGTCTGCTCGTTCCCGTCGTCGCTCTCGTAGTCGTCCACCCGTACATAGACGACGACGTCGTTCCTCCTCCTCGGAAGGATCATTTCGCCCCAATTATGACCCTCCATCCCCCGAGATTGATACACACTTGGGCCTTTCACAGAGCTGATTGGTTGGCGGACCGTCTGGCCTCCGTCGCTCCCTCCCCGGGCTCCGATGTGGAGAAAAGTTGACGATCTGGTCTAATCCGACTTCTCTACCACCCGACCCAATGCTCACTGACCTGGTTACGGCGTTGGACGAGGACTTCGCTAAGTTGTCCCTCACGCCGTCGTTCAAGGCTCCTCATTTCCGGCGGGAAGATTTCCCCGTCCACTCCTTCGACATAGCCAACGGTGCACATATCCTTGACGAGGACTTACATCGAATGACCGGGTCTTCCCAGTCCGTCACCATACGTATGCCGGACTCCCGACTCGCTTTCGTGGAAACAGAACTGCGCCGTACTTTGAAGCCACTATCTACACTTGCCTCATCTGCCAGAGCCATTGACCAGGATCTCGATGAATCCAATCCTAACAGGATTGACCACTTGCGCACGGTTATGACATTCCAACTTCGCCAGATCAATCACATGCGCAATCACCTGAGAGCTGCGCTTGCGGAGATCACCACTACTCGACGGTTGGGTTACTTGACTTCCACGGACTGGGATTCCGAATTCAAGCGTTCCTTACTACGACAACCTTGGTTGGGTCCTACCCTTTTTAATGGTGCTATCTCCGCTACCCACACCCGAGTCTCCAGCTTCGCCAGGGATGAAACTGCTCTCAGAGCCTTGGAGCATGTCACACACCAATCAGCGGCCAAGTCCTCCAAAGGCAACTATAAACCACGCCGTTCCTCCCTCAAGGTCGTCTCCTAACATACCTCGCCCTTTCGTGGGACAGGGCGTGGTAGTGGTAGATCCCGTGGCACTTACCAGCCCCGAAGGGATCGTCGCCCCGGCAAGGGTGCCGATTCCACCTCAAAGCGTTGACCGGCGGGACCTCAACGACTGGGACCTCCCACCCCCAGCCGTTCCGGTCACCGACACACCTGTGGGTGGGAGACTAGGCCGGTTTTGGAGAAACTGGTCCATACTGGAGGACCCTTTCGTCACCAACGTCCTCCGTCAGGGGTACCAGCTCCCATTGTCTGCGCTGCCTCCTCTGACGTCTACTCCGTCAACAGCCGCTTATTCACCCCACCAGCTTCGGCCCCTTCATGACAGCATCGTTTCCCTACTGCAGAAGGAGGCCATAGAGATCGTACACGACCCGGCTCGACACCCAGGATTTTACTCTCCGGTGTTTCTGGTGCCCAAGAAGGGGACCACCAACTGGCGCATGATACACAATCTCTCCACTTTCAACCGGCACTACCTGGAACGTCCTCCCTACTTCCGAATGACGACGTTGCGACTGCTCAGGACGAGAATCTCAGCTGGCGATTCCCTGATCAGCCTCGACATCCAGGACGCCTATCTTCATGTACCCATCCACCCCAACGACCGGCGCTTCCTCAGGTTCTTTTTCAATGGTACCCATTACCAGTAGGCGGTCCTACCATTTGGAATTTCAACGGCCCCGTGGCTTTTCACACGGATCACCCGCCCGGTCGCCGCCTACCTACACTTGAGGAACATCAACTTCGATCCATACATCGCTGATTGTCTCCTCAACAATTTTACCCTGCGGCTCTTCAATCAGTTGGGTTGGATCGTCAATCAGACGAAGTCGGAGCTGACCCCATCGTTCCGTCTGCAGTTTATCGGGGGCCTGTTTCTCACGGATCAGGACCTCCTTCAAGTCCCCAGAGACAGGTGGTTGAAAATCCTCGCTCATCTCTTCCCTGCCCTTCAACAGGCTCGAACTCTCCGCCAATGGCAGGTTCTATTGGGTCTCCTCACGTCGGCTCAAGACCTGTCTGCCAGAGGTCGCCTCCAACTCCGTCCAATTCAACGGTTTCTCGCACCCTTTATCCGGCAGCAGGATCCGGAGTCCCTCATCGTCCTCCCGGTCCACCTCCACCCCTTCCTCCAATGGTGGACGGTGGAATCGAACGTCTGCGGCGGCGTCTCCTTGACCGCGCTACAGCCCTCCCTCCACCTGTTCGTCGACGCATCCAAACAGGGTTGGGGGGCTCATCTGGGGACTCAAACAGTTGCAGGGCTGTGGTCCGGAGATCGACTCCACTGGCACAGCAACAATCTCAAACTCGAAGCTCTAATACTGGCCGTCTCCCACTGGCAGAGCATTCTCCGTCACGCCCAGTTGACCATCTCCACGGACAACATCACTGTGGTGTGGTGTCTGAGGAATCAGGGTACTCTCCACTCTCAGTCCCTGCTCAACCAGACCTTCCGATTCTTCGACCTGGTGGACCGCTTAGACTTGCAATTCCTTGTTCAGCACATTCCAGGTTGCAAGAATGTTCTGGCAGACGCTCTGTCCAGGCCGGACAAGGTGGCTCCCACCGAATGGCGACTCCACCCAGAGATCTTCACAGTCCTTTGTCAAACGATCGCCACTCCAAACATCGATCTGTTCACCACGTCTCAGAACTGCCAGCTGCCGACTTACATCTCGCCGGTCCCGGATCCGGCCGCTGTAGCAGTCGACGCCTTCAGTGTTCCCTGGGAGGGATTAAGCGCGTACGCTTTTCCGCCTCCGGTTCTCCTTCCCAGGGTTCTTCAAAAGATCCAGGCCACTCGACACTTGACACTGATTTTGGTCGCGCCTTGGTGGACGGCCAGAAGTTGGTTTGTCGACCTCCAAAACGTCGCCAGAGACAACCCTCTAGAACTGCCAGCGTGGTCCAACCTGCTGCTCCACCCACACAGTCGGTTGCCCCACCCAAGTCCCGCTCGGTTTCATCTGCACGCCTGGCACATCTGCAAAAAGCCCTAGGAGCCAAGGGCTATTCGACTAGAGCAGCCAAGGCTATTGCTTTCACCCATCGTCCATCTACACGGGGACTATATGATGATAAATGGTCCTCGTTCCAGGCGTTCTGCTCTGACAAGCATCAGGATCCGATGACGGCATCACCGCAGTTCCTGGCTGAGTTTCTCCTGTACTTGCGCAGCACGCGTCGATTAAAAGGCTCTACCATCTCCACGTACCTGGTCACCATTAACTCCGTCCTTGCCATCCCGGACGACCGGAGAATGACGAAAATTCCCGAACTCCAGGCTATGCTGCGCTCGTTTCGTCTTGACGACCAAAAAGCCAAGTTCAGACCGCCCGCGTGGGATCTGAATGTGGTCTTAAAGGCTCTTCGGGAGGCTCCCTTCGAACCACTCCATACGTCTTCCTTTTACGACTTAACGAAGAAGACGGTGTTTCTACTGGCCTTGGCTACGGCCGCCCAGGTTAGTGAGCTCCACGCCCTCGACGTCTCTCGGGTCCGGTTCGAACGCGGGACTCATGGAGCAGTTCATCTTGGGCTGTGCTGGGACTTCATCGCAAAGAATCAACTCCCCGGACAGCCTGATAGATCCTTCACCATCCCTCCACTTTCGTCGATTGTGGGTGCCGACGACGTGGAGGAGCTTTTATTATGCCCAGTTAGGGCCCTGAAGGTTTTCCTGCAACGATCTAAAGCCTGCCGTAAGTCTAGGAAATGCCTTTTCCTACCGGTCTCCCCTTCGTCGCTGTCGGAGGTCAGCCGGAATACTATCTCCCTGTGGCTCCAGGCGGTCATCCTCCAAGCTTATAAAGTCGCCGGATTGGACCCCCCCAAGGCTAACAACCCCCACGAGATTCGGGCGGTCGCGTCTACCATGGCTCTGCACAGTAACTGTTCCCTCAAATCGATCATGGAAGGCTGTTTTTGGCGATCCGACACCGTTTTCGCCAACCACTACCTCCGTGATGTAGCCTTGGAAGATGTCGCTGGCGTTCATAGCTTTGGTCCCCTGGTGGTAGCTCAACAGGTCACCAACCCCCGACGCCACTGATTCTCCGTTACCCTGAGCGGGGCCCGTAGAACTCTCTGGTGTTTATCACCCCAGATTAGAGGGCTCTACTGCGTTCCGCATTCGCTCTTAGGTCAGTGCTAGTTTTGGCATTTCCGCCTCATACTATTTCTGTCACCTATTTCGGGTTCCCTCTTTTGCATCGACTCTCGTTTCCTTTGACAGGAATGGTCGCTGGTGTTCCGGTCATCTCTTGTCCATGCGGTGCGATTTCATCGGACCTTTGTCGAGGGTTTTTCTTCTGGCTCACATCTGAAGGTATGCCCACCGGCCGTGCCGTCTGATAAAGATGCAATACGGAGTAATGAAGGATAAGTTAAAAAATTTAGTAAAATCTAAATATTTTTTACATTTGTATACTTATCCTGCATTACAGGTCTAAGTGCCCCCCCTGCGCTCCGCTTCCTCCCCACGAAGTTTCCGATGTTATGTTAAAGCAGTTATGTGTTTTGACATGACGTCATGTCTTCCGGGTCACGTGCCGACTGGCCGCCTCCGTGGTCTTGTGGTAGAGCGTCCGCCCGGAGAGCGGAAGGTCCGGGGTTCGATCCCCGGCCGCGTCATACCAAAAGACGTTAAAAGATGGTACTTGTTGTTACCCTGTCTGGCGCTCGACATTAAGGGTCTAAAACAAGGACTGGTCGGCTCGGAGTCAGTATACTGTGTCTGAGTGGGGTATTCATGTTAAACTGCGGCATGGTATCTCAGTGAGCTAGCACTATAAATCGGCATCAGTCCGGACTAGTACAAGCAGCCACAGACACACACGTGCATGCACGTCGCTATATAAGTGCAATAATCTTGGACGCGACGTTAAACCCAATTTCACCTCACCTCACGTGCCGACTGTGTGGGAGGGGGCGCTGCTTCCTGGACAGATGGAAACAACTTTCTTCAGCAGCTGGATCTCACACAGCTCGTCTCTCTGTCAAAGACAGCAGTAAATGCAATACGGAGTAATGCAGGATAAGTATACAAATGTAAAAAATATTTAGATTTTACTAAAATGTTTGATGTCATGTATCTCTGTAATAAACATGAGATGAAGCTTGTATTTGTGTGTGCCAACAATACTGGAGTTTGAAATATGATGAAAAGTCGCACGCACGCACGCACGCACACACGCACACACAGGCACACGCACACGCACATGCACACACACACACACACACACACACACACACAGAGTTTTATCTTTAGTGATTGAAATACTCCTGTGGAAAGTAAAATGAATTAGTCATACCACCCCACCTCCCCACAGACGCCAAAACACATCCAAACCTTTGTTTTATATTAATTGTTTCCCAACGTCACAAGGATTGTGAGGTGAATGTGTTTTCTGTTGTACAGTTCAGCAGTCGCGATGTAAGTCGGCAAGCTGGCTTCACCCCTGGCAACCCGCCCCCAACATATCGACCAACCACCATCAGTCCTCAAGGTCGTATGACAGTGAGGCAGGTGCCGTCCGATGCCATCTTAAGGGAAATTGCGGAGAAGATTCACAGGCGAGACTGGGACTTGCTGGCCAATAGACTCGGTTTCCTCACGGAGGACATCGACGGCTTCAGAGAAGTGTATGCAGACAACTCTCAGTTGCAGGTGATTGTTTGTGTTGTCGTGTTGTTAATGTATGCAACTGGTCATCTGTCTGTGGGTGGACGAATACATGATATCAGCTGGGAATTAGTTGGGGATTATCTTATAATACATTTTGGGCAATTGCAGAAATATTGTTTTATATTGTTTGTTTGTTTGTTTAATGCCGCACTCACCAATATTCCAGCGATATGACGGCAATCTGTAAATAATCGAGTCTGGACCAGACAATCCAGTGATTGACATCATGAGCATTGATCAACACAATTAGGATACGATGACATGCATCAGACAAGTCAGCGAGCCAGACCACCTGATCCCGTTAGTCGCCTCTTACGACAAGCATAGTCACCTTTTACGGCAAGCATGGGTTGCTGAAGACCTATTCTACCCCGGATCTTCACAGGTCTATTGTTTTATGAGGCCAAGGTATAATGTGAGACAACTGAAAATATACAACTTGACCACCACATCAGTCTGGTGTGAGAGTTCTTGAGCATTCAGTGGAAACTTGTTTGATGCAGTGGAAATGGAAGATATAATTAGGACATAAACATAGTGTGTTTTCAATGCAGAGCTAGGTTACCTGTAGATTTAACCATTTAACAATTGTAGCCGTTCAAAGGTTGCTCATTGTGATGCAAAAGATATGACGTAACAGTCGTATATAGAAAAGCGCCATACAGCAAGCTCTCTGTTCTCAAAACTTTAAGTACACTCCCTTTGTTATTTTCTGTCATGACTTCTGTACAAAATGTATTGCCACAGGTCCTTTGAATGTTCTAGTAGTGACAACTTTGCATTTTGTTGCCTATAATTGTAAATATAATTATTTATATATGCCTACCAACAATTACTGTACTGTAATTAAGAAGTAGTATGCGAAAAATATTAGCTTAGGGCTGAAGTTGCCATCAAACCATCTGTTTCAATGACGGGGGTGTATTGTGATTTTATACCTCTGATTGACCAATCAAAATCGAGTATTTTTCAAATTCATGGTAGGCTATGTATTCCTCATCCTTGGTGGTGGGTGGGTATTGTGTTCCTGTTTTTAGATGTGTTCCTGTTTTATATAAGAACATTAACCCTTAAAGTGGTGTTTCATTCTGTGGCCAGATGAACAGTTTTGATACAAACTTGACTTGGCAGTGTTTACTTAATTGTCAAAGTGCCCCTTCAAGTGTGTTTTTCTTGTGGCCAGGTGTTCACGATGTTGAAGGACTGGAAGATGAGGGAGGGTATGAATGCTCGGGCGGACCTACTGGAGACCGCTCTGAGAGAGGCCAACATGGTCGACGCCTCTCTCATCCTGTCTCCCTGATGTCTCATCCCGACAGATGCATGTTTGGGACATTTTAATTTCTTACTCATACATGTACTTTTAGGTGCTGTCACATTGGCTGAAAGGCAATCAGGGAGATCAATATACTTTGAAATTTTAGTTGCTGTTCTATCATGCCTGAAAGTTTGGCTTCCCTGCACGGCAGCTTCGTCCACCATCCGCAGTCCATCACATCGGCGGATCCAGAGGGGGTCCAGGAGTTCTGAACCCCCCCACCCCTGTTTGAAAACCATTGTAGTATGTTGTAGGTAGTAAAATTGACTGAGAGAGATTTTTTATATTTTGGACCCCACCCTTTAATCAACTCTGGATCCACCCTTGCATCAACTGCTGTGTGTCGAATGGTCCATGAACAATCCTGTGTACAGCTGGGCAGATGAATCTGAAGTTTAGCATGCTTCTTCTTACCAGTGGTGACACCAACCTATGTTTCAGATCATTGACAGAATGTTTCAGATGAAGTTATTTATATTTTTAATTTAAGAAATGTTTAGAATCTATGCATGTTATTAAATATTGCGTCTATATGAAGCTGAAACTTGGATTGCCTCTGCCTACTTATGTCGATTGCTTTCATTTGTGACTAGACTCATTATTTGTGCATTTGACTATAGAAGTGGTTAAAGTGTTGTCTTGTGATGCAAATGTTCAGGTTTTGATTACCACACGTGTACAATGTTTGAACCGTACACTTGGTGTCCCCGGCCATGACATTGGCTGAATAGCAGCGAAAAGGTGTTAAACCAAACTCACTCACTCACACTAAATCAGACATAATGCAGTACTGACTTTTCCCTTCACTTTGGCCGCTGTCCTCTTCTTTAACAACTCTGCCACCCCACTGCCTAAAGGAGCTGTCAAATATTCATAAATGCTGAACAAAATATAGCATTTTGCTTTTTGGAATTTGCAAAATAATATAATAAAAACATCCATGCCAGAGAATAACCAGTCTTGATTATCTGCCGAAACAGGTTCCACTGGGCAAAATAGCAGTGTTATATGAAGGGATCACTGAAAATCAGTGATGACACCAGGTGTTCATGAAAAGTGTTAACATGTCCTGCCCTACAAATGTGTCATTCAACACTTTAATTGATACTAGACCTCAGAATACTACTTCCTCAGGGGCAGTCGGGTAGCCTTGTGGTTAAAGCGTTCGCTCGTCACGCCGAAGACCTGAGTTCATTTCCTGACATGGGTACAATGTGTGAAGCCCATTTCTGGGGTTCCCCGCCGTGATATTGCTGGAATATTGCTAAAAGCTGCGTAAAACCATACTCACTCACTCACTAACTCCTCAAATGGTTGGATTTGTTGAATACATGTCCAGGTGAGCTTCAGTGAGGTGGCAGGATAGTGTACATTCTGTTACATTTCCCTTCATTTCTGCTGTATATATGTCTGACGTGATGCGTTCTGTTTACACCAGTTGAGGCAAGTCAGCTGAGATACTTGAAACACAGACCACAGAGTGATTCTTCTTTTCTATTTATTCATGTTCCGTCCAGACAGTATTTCTATACATTCCATCTAACTGTTTCCAGTGATTGCCAAAATAAAGACTATAAATTTGAACCTGTGTTTTGTAAAGCATCACCATCACCATGACACATTTACTTCACCAGTGACTGGAGCAGTGAGGTAAAGATACTAGGCCATTTATGTTGGGCATATTCCCATACCACACAGGGGCATGCTCAAAGCGCTATTATTACCCCAGTCACTGGATCAGTGTGCACTCAGCAATCATTCTCAGCTCCCTGGGGAGTATACAACCCAAGCTGCCTGTCAAGCACCAGAAGGTTAACAACCTCATCCTACCGGGTACCCATTCACTGCTGGGTGAACAGATGCACATTTCGAACAAAGTCACTTGCCCAAGGAGACGCCACATGTTACATGTGCTTCAGTGTGGGGCAGGACCCAAGCCCTAGAAACTCTCAGGAGCCAAGCTGCCGAAACATGGTCACCCATCCAAGGACTCTCCGTGACCGGCGTTGCTTAACTTCACCTGATTTGTGACCTGAGCGCTATTGGCCAAGTGGTTAATGCGTTCACTCATTATGTCGAAGGTATGGTTTCAATTCTCTACATAGGCACAATGTGTGAAGTCCATTTCTGGTGTTCCCCATAAAAAAATATGGCTAAAAGCGGAGTTAAACCAAACTCTCTCTAATTTGCCTTGCGTTTTATGCTCAGAGGGGGTGGCTCATGGACCAGTCGGGAGGTATTATTAATCTTTTAGATCTTCCCCTTGAGTATATTATCCGAGTATCCTTGGTGCTACAAGTCGGAGATCCACTTGTTAAAAGCATTGTCTTTTTTACACTCGATGGAGCCTGGGGAACAAGGAACATGGAGTAACACACACACACACACACACACACACACACACACACACACACAAGCATTCATGTTTGTTTTATTACTGTATATATAAAACGAAATGTGGATGCTTTTTGTAAATCTGCTGCGCCATCAATGGATGGCACTCGGAGACATCGTGCGTCACACAGCTGCAACAAGTGTCTGAAGCAGTCCTAAAATACTCATCACCATCACATCATCGGCAGGAGTTGTTTAATGAATATTTCGTCTACATTTCGTTAACTGATACATGCGTTATTAATAATGCTTGACAAAAAATCTCAGCCGAGTTTTGAAGCATTTACCTGAGCATGAAGGAAATTGTTTCTCATCTTTATAATCTGAGAATCTTTGACCTCAGGGTTTTTTGACGAATGTCCACCATCTTACATCTCCTGATACATCATGAATATGTAATCTCCGCCATCACGCAATACAGGATTCACAAGTCAGGTATAGATACATTACAAACACATCGGTAACTGGTGGGAAATGTGATGGAACTGTGTGACTGTTGTTTGATGCCGCAGACAAATATAATACACATATGTCACAGCGGCCAGTACGGCAGTAGAAAGGACATCGTGACACACAGACAGACCACTCCGTGTCAGGAGTTCACCCGATGCCAAGTATCGTCCTCACGACAGACAGTCACTGTGGTTACCGGAGACCAATTCCACCTGGAATCCACATGGGAGTAAAGTGGAAGAACATTCCAGAAATGTCTACCATTGACAGTAATTCGATTTGCCGGGCAACATAGAATGTCCAAGAGGGTTGCATGCACGGATATGAAAAAAACGCCAGTGGCGACTCCGAGGCAGAACAGCCCCACTATCCAATATTTTAAAAACAAGGCTCGCTCAATGGCTGTGTCATTGTGTCCCCGAAGCCATCTTGGCTGTCAACCATTGGTTTTCCTGCTCCATACTCACTTATTTGCATAAATCAATGATAAAAGTGTACTGTATTCAAAAATGTTAACAGTGGGCATATACCTGAAGAAGTGAAACGTATCTATACTTTTTAGGGACTCCTAACAAGTACCTGTAGTGTGTAAGAGGACATCCTGAGAAAATATCGTATCTTGATGGAATTGACAAAGACTTGTCATGTCTTATAGGGCTCAGTCACACATTCAGGATTTCTACTGCCGTCCTTGATAGGACCATTCCCGATTAAAATTTGTCAAAAGTCTGATCAAGATCCTGTGATTCGTGGCGGGAAATTCACAAATTTGAAAAAACATTTATTTAATCACGACAACAATCAAATATTGTTCAGGAAGCGTCCCGATTCCGCCGTTTCCAGAATAGAATTCGTCCCGATTCTCCCCTTCTCAATCCGAATCTGATCCGATTTGTATCTTCCGCATGGTAAAAAACGACCGTATCTGCCCGGACAGCGTCCCGATTCTCTCGAATGCGATCCGACAGAAATCAGAGAGTGAACCGACAAAAACCGTTCGCATTCGGCAAGATCTGGAAGCAATCTGGACTCAATCGACAAGAAACGGCAATGGACAATTTATCCATCATGCCCGTTCATCACGACAGCGTCCCGATCCAAAGGACACCGTCCAGACCACATGGGACATTATTACGATTTTGATCCGATACAGCAGAATCTGTCACGACATAGTCACGATTGTAATCCAACTATACAAAATCGGCTGAGTTACCCGAATGTTATGGGACGCACCATACTGTCGGGAGTGCTTAGCCGACCTTTGTGAACCTTTTCCCGATCCGTAGGACTTGTTACGAACGTATACGACTGCGTTCAGACAATGATGGGACATTACAGCACGGTCACGGTGCTGACAAACCTAGAAACATAATCGTGGCGAACGGGGATTCGAACCCACAATCATAGGTTTCTGGCGTTACCAAGGGACGCAGCTCTGCACAGCGAATCGCGGCGCCTCAGACGACTGGGCCACTCGTGCCCATACATAATAATAATCATCATCATCATCATAATAATAATAATGCGGCATTAAACAACAAACAATACAGGGAGTTCATATAAGAGTTGCTTAGACTACTGAACAAAACACCCACAGTGAATACTTGACTAACACACACCTCATAAGTCACACTCTGGGGTGTGATGAGAATAGAATACTGCCGCCTACTGGTGAAAGTCCCCGAACTTGTCCGGTAACTTTCATACGGGTATGTCAGACTGGATTGAACCGATCACAGGTAGACTCGTAGCTGTTGACAGGTGTTGTGTGCATGATGCGTGGATCAATTACAGTAACGTCACAAATATTGGCCAATATGTCAGCCCCATACTCGTGCTCGTGGGTTTCGTCTGGTAAACGTCTGAGACTTGCATCACTTCGGGCTTTCCTCCCACATTAAGCTGACACGCTGTGATATAACTGGAATAATGTTAAAAGCGGCGTTGAACACAACTCTCTCTATGTCTCTATTATCATTAACAGATTATTATTTTTTTTAAATGCAGCAAAGAGGGTTTGGGTGATCCTGGCACAGTCAGGCAGGTTAGGCTCATCATCAGCTCAGGGCCCTTGCCCCCTCTACACGCAGCCCAGACAGCGAATGGGACTTCTCCCAGGAAGCGCTGCCTAGTCAAACCCACCCAGAACTTTTCGGAGAATGTGAAGACTCCCCAACACTGCAGCCTCCTGCATTACCCAGATTGTCAGAAGGGCTGTATTCCTGGTAGCAAACCCGGGTACGCTCCCAATGTCAGTCAACAGATTGGGAGGTAGCAAACCTAAGGCATGGCGAAACCACAAGCATGGCGAAGACGGTAATAAAATGACCGAGCTGCACCATCATGTCGCTTAAGATACTGTGTTTGTGTCAAAGCTGGGCATCCACTGACAATGTGTTGGACAGTCTCATTAAATTCATTGCATAATCTACATTTCATATTTACGTTTTGATGCAAAATCACATTAACGGCTATATTATTATTATTAATAGTAGTAGTAGTAGTAGTAGTAGTAGTAGTAGTAGTAGTAGTAGTATTTTTATTTTTATTATATGACAATGGCCTCTAAAATATCGCGTCCGAACCAGACAAACCAGTGATTCGTATTATGAGCCACGTCCCACGCCGTCGGGGTACGATGACGCGTCACCAGATTGACTGACTTCCCGATCCATTAATCACGTCTTACGACCAGCGCAGGCTGCTTATTTCAACCCGGAATCCCGGCGGGGTGGCCTGTGCCAGCATTCCACGGCACCGATTGAAAAGACCCATGTGTCTAAAAACATACCACTGGAGTTGGATACTGTTACCCGACTGTACATAAGTCCACTGACAGACCACCTTGCGATTAATCGGATAATGAAGCACTCCTGACCCTCGCGTACTCGTTGACTACGTAGGCTGGCTACTTAGCCTGTCCCACACTCCCAGAACCATATTATTTCCCCTTCTTCCCTGCCCTTTCTGTAACGCAAAAGCCCTAAATGAAGCAAGTCTAGATTTGCCTCAGGTTCAGAATCTCCCATCTCACTCGGGCTCCTTTTCAATTCAAATAAATTTGTTTCTATCAAAGTTATATATTTTCAGAGATTAAGCGTCAGTCTAGTTGGTTACTATAAACCAACTGAACTTCATGGATCATCGCGCTACGAGGCTTAAGCACATTTAGTCAACCATGTATAAGCACATCACACGTTTGGAAGTCGGTTATTATGTAAATGTACTTCAGTTTGTGGTCATGGATCGTCACACTTGTAGATTACCTTAAACACTACACTAAGCCAACATAGTCTATATTATCACGGTTGCCTCTTGTATATACGTCAAATGTGGCCTGTGTTGTGTTGGAACGTCATGTTTTCATGTAATATGTTGCAAGTATGCACCAACACGAGCCATTACACACATTTAAAGATGTCCAAAAGAGGGAAACCATGACATACATTTGATGATGTCCAAAAGAGGGGAACCATTACACATATTTGATGATGTCCAAAAGAGGGGAACCATTACACATATTTGAAGATGTCCAAAAGAGGGGAACCATTACACACATTTGATGATGTCCAAAAGAGGGGAACCATTACACACATTTGATGAAGCTGAGAGTAACGTTACAGACCACTCTATGCAGTAGAAGCGTTATGTTTGATGTGAAAAGGAATATATGTTTGGAGAGTAAGCCGAACAGCATTTGGAAATGACCTCTCGATGATCTCATCATCACCTCAGTG